AAAATGGGAAAGCTTAAATTTAAGGCACAAAAGTTTTTGTTTTATTTATGCTTTTTGTCGCGACTCCCTCAGGCCCAGCTAAGACTACAGCCAGCTCAGCTGCCTCAAACTACAATTCCCAGAACCCCTCGCGCCCTAACATGACTCAGGACTCATTCAGATCCACCTGTCCACGTTCAGCTTCTCCAGACTTCTAAATCACTTTCACCTGTTCCTCTGTGTATTTAACCAGTCAGTTTGTACATGCACTTTGTGAAGTATCATCTCCTTGTTGTGCACACTGAGCGTTTCCTTCATGTCTGTTAACACATTTACATGTATGACCTGTTTTCTGTTTATGACCTTGCTTTTTGTCTTGCCCCTTTGCTCAGTTTTGAATCTCTGATTTTTGATGATCCGTTTGTTTTTCGACTGTGGTTTTGGATGATCCTTTTGGCATTAAAGCTTTTAACTTTTAAGCCTTGTCTGTTCGCGTCTGGTTCCGTCTGCCACCGTTACACTTTTAAAGAAAGAATCCAAACACAAAAGCATTTTTACATTTTTACTGTCGTAAATCTGCTTTCAGTCTGACAAAACTGAGCTGACAATAAATAAATATAATTTTCAGAAATTAAACTTGCTAAAATGATTGCAGTATGTAGGCTAGAGTATGTGCCACGAAATCCAACGCCATAAACAGCAGAGAACAGTTGGTCGTCCAAGGCAATGAATTCCTGAGGTTTTAGTTATACTTCACACTTTTGCAGTCATTTATGAATTTCTTTCATCATTTAAAGAAAAAAAACTGAGGCTACATGTGACATTAGTGTGCTAGCAGGGACTTTCCTTTTGCTTCTGTTGTTTTGCTGTATTCCGTGTATCGAAGTGGTATCAAACCTGTAGTGGAGAAATTCTTGGTTGTTGTGTCCTATCTTGATACATGGTATGAACAGAGTTCCATGAACAGAGTTATCTGTTCCACCTTATTTAGTTATTCTGAGATTTAATATCATGATGCATATTGTGTATTGTGAAAATGTTTTGCGATGTAATATTTTTGTCATGTGGTCCACCCCTAGATGTGGCAATGGTTACATTTTTCAATTTGCATAAACGTGGGCACTTTTAATGCACGAATACTATTTATTTGCTGAATTCGACATATTCATCATAGTTAAATTAGCAAGAACATAGAAATTGTGCCATAACATTTGGGCCACATTTAACTTCTTTGCATTTAGAAAATCAACAAAATGTACATGACTGTACATTTTATGACTGTGCTCCTGCAGCTTCACTGTTGTCTGGCTTCAGTAAGTGTATGAAAAAAGCTGGACTGCCAAGTTGCAGAGGTTCATAATTGCATCTTTGAAATCTTTATGTTGGAAGTGTATATTGCTCCTTACAGAACTTCTGCATAGGATGCCTGTAAATGTTAGGTTGGAGTTTAAATTTAGGCTGGCTATCCTTGCTTTATGAGACAATGAAATACCACAAGGCCTCTTTAAAAGTGGGCGTTGAGTGAGAAACACCCCATTACAGCAAGCTAAATAAACACAGTGACCTCACCGTTTAATTACAAATGCATACTCTGCACGGGATGTAACTTTTCTTCATCAGCGCTTTAGTGCGTAGCTCCAGGCATGGCAACATTCAACAGTCTGCATAAAAAGTAATAAGTACTTAGTACCAAGAATTTAGTAATCATGATTACTTTTGTAATGATTTTGAAAGGCAGTTTGCATATATGCGGCTGTCTGTGCTGCCAGTGAGAGAGGCAGATTGAGAAAAAGTAGGAAATGATCTTATAGCCATACTCTAAATTCGTTCATCTCTTTCTTGAATTTAAGGCACAGAAGTGGCTATTTCTGCATTTCAATCTTCTTTTCAACTTTAATATTATGATCATGAAAATTATGATCACAAACAACCCTTGTACCACAAACTACTATTTCAACAAGCATACAAACAGTAATGTACTTCACATATACTTTGCATCCAACAGCAGAGGCAGCAGCATGCTTCTTTCACACAGTGACAGAAAACAGATTTCAGTGAGTCAAAGGGAACAAAGTCTTATCGTGTATTTTAATGTATTGCCAGAATAAAGTTAAATCCTGATACTAGCAGGATATTAAGCTTTCCCAGAAGTCCTGTTGTGTAATCTTACAATTAATGATGCACTGAAATGAAAATTCTTGACTGAAATCAAAACTTTATATAATAATGCTGCTGATGCTTCAAAGGCAATATGGTCAATTTGGAAAAGAGAACTGATGTCAGGCTTGGACAGAATTCAGATGCTTGCAGACCACAGTGAAGTAAAATAGGTTTATTAACAAAAGGAGTATCCAAAAACAAGGTCAACTGGTCCAAAGTCAAAAGCCAGATCACAAAAACAGTAACCATGAGGAAAGTCCAAAAAACAAAGTCCGAAATCCAGAAAAGAAGGTCAACCTAGAAAGCACAACAATACTGAGAGGGCTAGGCAAAAGGCAAGGTCAAAAACAAACAAAGGCTATACTTCGCAAAGGTCCTATGCTAAAGGCTGGGCTATATACTAAACTAATAGGTCACATGAAACAATCAACAGGTGATGTGAATCTTTAGATGAAGCAGACCAGTGGAGAGTCATGTGAGGGAGATCTGTGGTCATGTGATCAAGTGAGGTGTTCTGAGAGATGGAGCCCGAAGGTGGCGACAGCGGAAATGTAGGGAAGCGTGTCAACCAATCTGAGTACTAATTTCATTTTAAACAGCTTGCTAAATAATATTAAACATTGGAACATTTTGAAAATATAATACTTCATGGATTTTAAAGTTACAGCTGAATTCCAAAGCGAGTTCCCTATAACGGCAAGAAAACACCTCTTTTTTTTAATGTAAACTACATGGATGTAGCTTTGGAACTGCATCTAGCAGTCTCAAGTTTCTCCAGCATGAAAGTTACTTTAATGTCCCTCATTTAGAGAAGGAAAAGCCATAAACCTTGGCAGGATCTAACAAATGCATGTGCTTGCATCTGTGTTGAATGCATCTGTGCTGACCAATGCAGGACAGCGAAGGAAACAATGAGTTTTTAATCACTATTTGTGATTTTCATTAAGATTAACATTTGCAACATTAACAAATGTGAGATTGTGACACTTCATTGTAGGCCTACATTGTATGGCTAAAAGTATGTGGACACCTGTCCATCACACCTATATGAGCTTGTTGGGCATCTCGTTCTAAAACCATTGGCATTTATATGGAGTTGCCCCCCATTAATTAATATGGAGTTGCTTACATTTTACACTAATGGCACTTACAGTTGACTGGGGCAGATCAAGCAGGGCAGAAATTTCACTAACTGATTTTAGACACCTGTTAGAAATGGGTGTGGCTAATCATCTGAATATGTAATAATTTGGAGGGGTTTCCATACACTTTAGGTCATCTAATTTTTATTTTGGCCAACATTTTCAGCCTTTTTTCTCTTTTGGTCAAAAATTGAAAGTGCCAGTTTTTCATTTTCAGACAATCATTTTCTGTGTCACTGACATTCTGAATAACTAGAATGCTGTCCAAACAGACACAGGACCTTTAAAAGTTGAGAGTTTTGTTTTTCTATACTATTCAAATGTAATTACATAATTACACGTTATTACAAAGTGAGTTATGCAGTGAATCACTTTGTACTTTTCTGTGTCAGCAGGTTTGAGTCTGCACATCTGACTTTATTTGTTTCAATTTCATGTTTTGACAGAAGCATGCTTTCTGTAAACAGGGCCATATTTAGTTGTTCTAGGGGTCAAGGCAAAAGACAAGAATGGGGCCTCTGGAAGGACATTTTTAAATTAGTTGAGGCTCTGGGTTGAGGCTCCCACTACACTGCAAAAAATGATATCCTGATAAGTGAAATCATCTTAAATTAGTCATTATATTCATTATAAAAGCTGTATATATAGTCATTATATAAGATAAGCTATATAGAATATAAGATTTCTCCTTTTGATACTTTTGTAAGAATATTATAAGGTCATCTCACTATATTGGCAGATAATTTTGCTTGCTTTATGAATTATGTTTCAAACAAGCAAAATTAATTAATTATCTGCCTATATAGTGAGATAATTTGGTACAGAGTAACAGAATAACTTAGTGTGCAATGAGATTACTTTAAGAAGTATAATAATCCTATTACATTTTGAAATTACTTTGGACGGCTGTTTTTTTTGAGTAATTAACAGTAATTAACCCGACACTGGAATTATCTGTAATACTAGCACTATGTACAGTCTGCTGAGCCTGTGCCTGTTCTAACTGAAAAAATGTTATCTTTGGAGGTGTAGCGACAATTTTTTTGCTGTCCTCCCTGTTTTTGCATTTGGATGACTTTTTTGATTTTTCTTCTCTGCAACCAGAAAATCACACTTGAGAACATCCTCTCCCAAATGTAGATTATTGCTTGATTGCCTTTTCAGTACCAATCTGTCTACTCAGCCGTGTCATCACATGACAACATGGAATAGTCCATTGTAACCATGTCTGGGTGGGGCTGCATTGAAACTCATGAAAATAATCACTAGAATTGCAAATAACATATATAACAATATACATGTTTAAAATGTATTTATATTTTAGAATAGATTATTTAACATCAACACGTCTAGTGCATGTAATTTGTTTTTCAAGGAGCCCTTGGCTCATAGAGTCCCTAGACGGCTGCATACCTTTCCGCAAAACAAAGACTAGGTGCAGAACACTAACTTCATCAAATTCAAATATCACATGAAAATATAATATCAGCACTTTTGACAGAATTTCTTTGCTTGTTTACATGAGCTATGAGTGAGAAAAAATAATGTGAGAAATAAAATACTTATTTATCAGTTTACACTATGCTTTTATCACTTGTGATAACCTTGACTTTTAAGCGTTAAAGAAAGTGCTTTCATCTTTATTTAATAAGACATTCTACTGAACATGTATAAGCCATAGAAACTGTCCATGGCATAAATGCTTGACTTGTGCTGCAGTGCGGGCTGCACGGTTCGGATGGAGAGCGTGTTGAAGAGCGGCCGCCGGGGGAGAGGGTCCTGCGGGACATGAAGGAGAGCAGAGGGCAGGAGGAGCGCCTGCGAGAGATCCAGCAGCAGCTGCACCTCCTGGGACACAGCCAGCAGACCACTGTGAGTTCAAAGAGGCTGAACTACACTCAGACACAGGGAAACCCACACTTACCCCAGACCAAACACTTCCACTGTAAACACCATGTGCATTTAAGCTATACACTCACTGAGTGCAAGTGCAAGACAAAATACACGTGCAGTTTTTTTTAGGTCTGGGCTACGTCACCATACACTTAACCTGTGTTTGTAGATAGCCAGGCTTTTGTCCAGTTGTCCAGTTCAACAAAACAATTAAGCAAATGTTGCAAAACAATTGTGGGATAATTATGGGAATAATGCTGCATCTCCATCAGCTCTGAATAAAAGAATTGTAAAATACTTAAAAAATATTTCAGTTTAATGTTGAGCAGCTTCTCATTGCTGTTTGTTTATTTTTAAGGATGTATTTTAAAGGGCCCTTATCCTACATTTGTCTTGCAGTTTGTTTTTTCCACTGAGGTCCTTTCATGACCACTTGTGTGGTTCTGTTTACCAAAAAGCATTATAATTCGTTTGTGCATGACCATTTTCCGACCTCTTTTTATCCCTGAGAATTAAACAGGCTGCTTTTTGTTACTGTGCCTTTGGACTGAAATATATAAATGACATGTGTTCTGATTTGCTGCCCTGTATTATGCCTTATTCAGAAAGCAGTATGAGCTGATACACTCCTTATGGTTTCCGTGTGAATGGGCGGGGTCCAAATGCTGAAATACTGCAGGCTGAACGAGCGGATACGTGTAAATGCAGACTATCAAGAACTTTTGTTTTTAAAAATGGAGCACATCTTGTGAACTAAATAGAAGAACAAAGTTTGGATCCAGATTTCTCCTCAAAAGCCATGACATGGATTTATTAAATCACCAGCACAGCTGATTTAACGTAATGAGGTAATGATTTAGACAAACTAATTACTGGATGATAACTACAATAAATATACAGGGCTGCCACAAAGAAGAGATTTGGAAATGGTTATATGAACGCACTGATTTACATAAAATCACTGCTTATTGTATTAAATGTCATTCAAATACTGGTGGTTTTGAGCAAATGCACACTTACTGGGAAATGACAGATATTTAACAATGGAATTGTCTTTCCTTTTGTGCCTAAAACCTTTGCGCAGTACTGAACATCTAGACATTCACTAGTTATTCATAGGCCCTATATTGTACACATTGGCCCTTATTCATCACGTTGCATACAGTCAAATCTGATTGTAAGCTGAGCATGCGAAAATTTCAGCGATTCATCGGTTTCATCTTTGGTGTGTCTGTATGATCAGACTCACGTCTGGTAGGAGTGCGTGTAAATTTGAGCGTAAAAGTGTAACAGCCTGAAAAAAAATACTTGATTTGCGGCTAACTAACCGGAACTATTAGCATAATCGTCTCTACTACCAATAATAAGAATAAGCATAGAACATAACAGTAATGCTAGTAAGTTATGTGCATGGCAATCTAGTACAAAAGTAAATGTTCTTATTTTACATGTACATTGGTATAAACAAATCCTGCTATTCCACACTATTCCATGTTTCATTTATTCTTTCTAGTCGTCTTAATTTTAACCCTATAAAGTTTTGTCCCATAGGGGGAGCAGTGCACTCTCTGCTCCACCTCAAAGCTATAAGCACAGCTTTTGGCTCACGAGATGCTGAATGCTGTCGTTTTATTGGCTCCCTACTAAAGCGTCTGTATGAATTAGGGCGTGCTTTGCAGAGCAGTTTGTATGTTTTACGAACTCTGTGCACTTTGCTTTATGCAACTTTGATGAATAAGGGCCATTGTGCATATTGTTTGCCCACAAAACTAACATTAACCCTTTTAAAGCCAAAGAAAAATGTATGTATGCCATTTAATCTTCTCCTTTAATAATACGATTTCTCACTGCTGTTGCCATATTTATTTGATTTGTAAAAAATTTGATCTAACAAGTTTTGTTTTTGTCACAGAAACTACCCTTTAAAACAAGACACTGCATAAATAGGAACTTAACTTATTAGTCACGTTTTATCGTCTGATCAAACAAAATTTTCTTAAGAAACAAACAAAAAATAAGCATTTACTTATTCAAAAGAGTTCTGAGCTCTTTCAGAGCAAGTGCAAACTCATTCAGAACTCTATTTTGGATCAGTAAATACTTATTTTTGTTTGTTTCTTAAGAAAACAAACATCACAGTGCATCCAACAAAAAAGTCAGCATTGCGTGTCTTTTATATAGTGATGGAAAATGTGGTAACACTCAGAAAGCTCCAGTTTTACATGCTGATACATATTCCTGCCCACAGTGGACATGCATGCGCCATAGCTCCTCTAGCGGCAGACTTAAAGAGTTGTATTGTTGGCAAGACATCCAATTTGACAGGCTTAAACTAATTAGACAGCAGTCATATATTTAGGTTCCTCTAGGTTTTCAACATAGCTTTAGATTTACTTTAGCTAAGGTCACCTATTTGACTTGTTCTTATACTGCAAATTGTAAGAACCAGACATGATATTATTCTGCATTCACATGCTTGCATTGAAAAAACAGTGGTTCCCCACCACGTAGTGGTACGCAACTGACATCAGCATTAAGCCAGGCAACTGTTGGCGTGGTGACAGCATTACCAGCAAAAATGGATGATCGTCAGAGGAGAGCCTTAGCAATGTAGAATGTTTATTTAAGGTGGAAAAAGCTGGAGGACGCTTTGTACTCTTTTGTTGTATAATACTGGTTTCGACTGGAATTCAACAACAAGACGTTTGGCATCCATGGCTCCCAAAAAAATCCACATCCAGTTTATTTCATTGCTGCCGTGGTCGACTGCAGGAAAATTAAGCTCTTAAGGGATCATTCCACTCACTGCTGCGTTTTGTGGCACGTTGCAGTTGGCGGTGGCAGAATTTTCCGTCATGGCTCCTTTGAAAACAAAGGAATATCCGTTTTACTATCGTCCGTCTACTGCCAACACGCAAACGCAGCACTAATCGCTGAATTTGCAGTAATTAGCACGCTTAAAAATAATCTAATTTAGCCCTAATTAACAATAAACTCTAAATTGTTATGGATATCATAGTTTAATTACTGTAAATGGTGACATTTTGGACAGCTTTGTCTTATGAAACACTTGGTTTCTCACATTGCATTTAAACAAAATGAAAACCGAGCATGCATTCTGGGAGTTTTTCATCTCGCAGTATAAACAAGAACTAATCTGCTTTTATGGATTTCAGAGACATTCTGTCTATTTATGTAATATGAGCATTGGCCATTTTGCAGCTCTAAAAAAAGCAGTACATTAAATTATCTTGACTCAAATATGTGCATCATTTTGACATGAATAAATTGTATTACATCAACACAATTATTGTCAAAAGTAAGTAAACTGAAAGCGTTGGAAATTGTTGAAATTATGCATATTTGAACATTTAGATGAACATTTGATGTGAATGATAGTAAATGATGGTAAAGATGTTTAATTCCTTCATATTCAGAAGCTTCGTCTTGTGAACTCTTTAGCTCCCACCTGAATTCTAAAACGTTCCCATGGATTCCAGGCAGTGTTCAGAGTTAGAGGCTTATTTATCACTGCTTTAGACAAAACATTTTATCACTGAGCTATAAAAAAATATATCATACCAGGTAATCTTAAAGACTGAGCATTGATAGCCACACTTCCCACTACAATTTCACAAGTCACCCCTTGTCTTTGGAAGACTGAAGAAAGATAAGTTAGTGGTATTAAAATGGCAAACAACATTTAAACAAAAAGACATAGCCCACTATATATTTATTTGATTGGCTATAGTTTTGACTGCTGAATGACATTCAGGTGAAGAAGCCGAGCTCATCCTCAGTCATTAATTTACTTACAGTGGAGCTGAGAGACATAGACAAACAAAGATAGCAAGCTAAATAATCAGTTCACCTCATTCCTATTTAACATGAACTGCTGTAAATCTATACAGATTTAGTATAAAACATTGAAAATTCACCAAGTCGTCAATCTTCAACCAGATATATGTTTGTGTATTGAAGTTATTTTACTCATAATGGAGTTGAATTTGGACCAGCAAATTGGAAGTGGAATATGAACTTTGTTATCCATTCAGTAAAACAGCTAAACTTACTATGAAAACAGTCGCTAAACAAAGGTTTTAAAAGATTTACATCTTGAGCTCACTTCTGTGTCATTGCTGCAGTGTAAGTAAGCAGAAATCCAGTGAGACTCATCTCAGAAACTTGTACAGAAACACCAAGTATTTGAAGCCTGTAAAATGCTGCTTGGGTCAGCCCTACAAATCTGCATTAGATGAGTTATGTTGGTCCACACATAAAGCATTTGAGACAATTAACTTAAAATAACATGTTAACTTTGAAAGCCTTTTCATTCTGTACCATGGTGAGAACTCAGCCTCTTTGCTATAAAAAGTACCCTGGCCTGACACGCTGCTTCATTATCTCGCAAAACCTACGTTGCCATGCCTTGCATGGTGGAATGTTCTGGCTGATGTCTTTGCTTTTTCCATTTGCAACAATTCAGAGGCAACTGAGAGAATGTGTGGTAAAATGTAGCTACCAGTAACCATGTATCCTTACAGTCTGAAGTATTGATGGCCTATCTGTCCAGGAAAACAGTGTCACTGCTCCAGTGGCTTGGCTGAAAGAAATGTTCTTATATCACATTACTGGATCATGCAGCATGGCACATTGGCACAGTTTGCCACAGAGATTTCTCTTTTTTTAGTGACTGGTGTGATTTAGATAAGCAACATCATCCTCCATGCTTAATCCACTTAGAAATAGCTTGTTAGCAGTGAAACTGTGGATGTACATTAATATCAGACTTATGTCAGTATCAGAATATAGTTTTTCAAGTAAAAGCTCAGCATCGGACAGATTTGACTGACATTTCAAGCTGATATTTGGTAATGCATTTATTGTGCTGCTAATGTGGTGGATTTAGACCCAATTTTAGACTAATTCACACTACATGATCCGAAAGAATTTGTGGCCATCAAGAAGTCATTACTGAG